ATCGCCCGCGTCGGTGGTGGTTCCTTCCTTGGTTTTTTTTTTTTTTTTTTTTTTTTTTTTTTTTCTTTTTCTTCCTCTCTCGTAAAGCAGTAAATAACAATAATAATCTGTGTAAAACCCACGGGCTGCACTATGACCCAGAAAGGGCCAGAACTAACGGGCTTAGCGTGGAGGTGCAGAGCCAGCCACATTGCCCGTTGCCTGCAAGGTGAAACACCATCCACTCCAACCATCTCCATCCACCAGCTTTGACGAATCAGATGCAGTCACTAGTGCTGAATCGGGGCTGGGACATGATCTCATCGGGTCCTCACGGCTGCTGCGGGTGGGTCCGGACACGGGCATGTGCGTAGCATTGCACAGGGATTGGCCTGCGATGTAGGCGTGACTCTGTTCCGCTCGTAACTGACTTTGGCCTAGGAGGGAAGGTCTGAGGTTTCTAGCGAGCTCCCACTCCCTCGCTAACTTACTCGTATAGTGCTTACTATCCCCGAAACAGTAACATCTCAAAGCCAAGAAATTTAAGGAAATGAGCTTCAAGGGTGTGCCCCCCTGTTCATGAATCGCTCCGGGGAAATTGGCAATCTTGCATTTACCCTGAAAAACATAAAAAATTATTTTATACGCGTCGTGGTTGGCTGGTTTAACATCGGCTGGGGGGGCGTCGTCCTGAACCCGAAGCAGCGGCTGCTGGCGTCCCATGGAAAAAGCCAACTGGGGCCATGTCTGAATGCATTTACCAATGGCAGCTGGCCAAGCTGCCACGGCAGCCAGCTGGACATTTTTTTCACCCAACTTTAATGGCCTCGATCAGCCGTGGTTCGCCGATCACGGCACCTTATTGACATGATATCTGCGGCTCAATGGAACCGCAGTACCATAGTATTGTGAAATAAGTTATTATCATTGTTACTTGTTTTGATTATACGTGGTTTCCATGGACTCCGATGGTGTGATTACCAATTTTCTGTGCCTCTGTTGCGTGAGTCGCTACAGCTTCCTTTGCTCTTTCAATTAATGCAGTCTAGAGACGGTAAGTGCCATGAGCGCTGGTCATTCCTTACTCAACTCGGAAACCAACTCCGGCTCCGATTGAGCTTGGATCGCATGCAGCACAAAATGGTGGACACTAATTCTGCTCTCTGCTTCTCACACAGCCTGCCTTTCATCGCCTCCGAGTCATGGAGTCCGCGCAAGCACCACCTCAGCCATCACGCCTTTTCCGATGTCTCACCTGCATCAATACCAAGCTTTGTCATTTTGCGAGGATCGCTGGTCAGAGTTTTTCCCAGCCAGTGGACTCGGGCAGATCAACCGAGCGGTCATGTTGGGTTCTTTTTCCCGAAAATACGGAATGATTTTTGACACGACATTGGTTTGTTGTCACCAGGCAGAAGTATACTTTACCTCCAGCCAGCCGGCCAGCTAGCCAGCTAGTCTCGTCTTACGGCTATGCAATGTGCCGTACAGCCACCGCTCCGGATCTCCACCTTAGTCAACGCTTCTAATGCGCATCTTCCGACCTCCGATGGAGTCTTGAACAAAGCGCAGGAGCGAATGACGCGTTACTTGTTTCGCATCGCACACAATTCCGTATATCAAGTGGCGAGATCACTTTTAAGTCCTGTGGGTTGTGACCGACCTTGGATCTGGCCTGGCCCGTCATGCTCCATACCCTCGCGAGTCGCAACAAGAGCTACGGGTTGTTTACAAATCTCGGATCTAGCCACGATCCCGCCTGTGTGGATCAGATGGGTCACACTGATATTGCACACTGCACAGTACCAAGCATCGGTTGCGATTGATTTCGGACTGCTCCGATTGTTTTTGTGGGCTAACTAGTGAACTTAGTTCTTCTATCCTGCGGTTGAAGATGCTCTGGAATATGTCTGATCCGATATGCTCATTGTTGGCAAGAATGCAGCAATAGACCTCAGGCGCACTGAAGGCTAGTGAATGATGCAGCAACAATTGGTAAACGTTGTCTTGACTTGTCGCTTCTGTTCTTGAGAGAATGCAGTCCAGAAGCACATAATCTGCCGCGACATCCAGCCACTTTCACCTCTCTACGGAGGCAGCTAGAGCTTCAATTGGGCATGTTTGACGACCAGAGTGCATAGCATTATCAAACGAACCATTCTACGAGCCGTCATTCTAGACACGGCATACCGAATCTTAGATGAGAAGGTCGGACCCTGCGAGCCAAGTCCAGTCCGCACGAACATACTACCTCGCCAGCCAAGAGATTATATTACCCTTATCCACAAGCTAAGTGCAGGAACCATTGCAGAGATTTACCGGCACACTGTACTCCACCAAACAGCCGCAAGCATAGCTCTTTCGCGAGAACTGATCTATCCTGATGAGAGAAGCTCACCGCAATCGAGATCTAAATGCATACTATTCTTGGTGGGTTTGTACTACATCGCCTAATCAAGTAATTACCCTTGATGTCACCTCTACCCCATCCTCCGTCCAACCAACAACCAACATAGCAGACAAAACCCCTCAACGCTCAGCCATCTCATCATCTCATCTCATCTGAGATTTTCTAGCGTTATACAACAGCGCAGATCACGCACCAGCCTTACTTACTCAGAAGACCCCACCCGGCCCAGCCACGGACGATATCGAGTCAGATACGGTGGAGTCCAATTTGCATCTGATAGATTAAGCAGTCGAGACTAGATACTACGTGCCGAAAATTCCGATATTTTCCAGCCCCTATAGTAGTTGATTACTAGTCAGTTAAATACTACCTAAGATACCAGCGCGTGCAAATTCTTCACACATTCCCCTATCCCGTAAATTAGACTAGATGGTTAGTTCATAGTAGTTATATGAAATGAGGACCCGGAAAACCCGACCCCACCCTTCCTTCCCACTGAGTAAGACGAACATCAGCCCGACGGCAACACAACCCACTGAACAAACACCCTTTGCCAAGAGAAACAGACTGAAACAGGGGGGCCGGAGCGGAAATTGCTGGCATTATGTATGTATGTATGTATGTATCTTACCTCTGTAATTCCTCATACTCAAATTACCCCTCGTATGGAATTACACAGAGATCAATCATGCACAGGGCAACCAAGATATACTACATAGTACATACATTGTTGATCATTAATCATCTATTTATCTAGTATTTATTCATTCATCTGTAAGTCTGTATATATATTGTCTGCCTGCCTGTACCCCAATAACTCGAAGAATTACATGTACTATTATATACTACAAAGGGAGTAGTAAAAGTAGGCAGATATGCATAAATTTCCGGGCGGGAGGGGATATTCTGAACCTAGTATTACTTAACTGCTACTGCTACTACTACGACTGTAACGGATTTGAAGCACTATATACGTCAACAATACATTAACAACTGGCATATACATGCATACAAAAACACCAAATATAGAGTTTATTGCTATATATACCTGAATCAGACATGAATGTCTTAGACATTGATGATGATGATGGGAAGTCATACCCTGCCACAATATGCTAGTGCTTATAGTAATATAGTTGGATAAATGGGTCAGGTGTTGAGCTGGGGGATTGATATTGTAGGCTGATATTGTTTGTAGTATATAATTTAGTGCATAGTAGTGATGGACTTTAGTAGCTACTAATCATTGAACGCTTACAGTACTTCTTCTTCGCTCACTATAGACACAAGTTTTGGTTCATTACACCTATAGCATAGTTATAGTATGATATATATTGTAAAGTCTATAGTAGAATATACCACATAGTATCTCTAATACACACCACATCACATCACACTACTACTTAAACATACAAATAAACAACGTAGTATATGCCACCACTACTTCAGCACATTCCCCAACCCAACAACTACTAGTACAAAGAACCCCCCTCCCCCTTTCTCGTAAAGTAAGCAAGTACTACCAACACGGCACCCCCAAATATAACCTATCATATTAATCTCCTGATCGCGGAGTACTTTATACCCGCTTACTCATACATTTGCACCCCAGACATGACAGATCTCAAGCAAGGCGTGCCCGAATCCCCCCCTCCCCTCCAAAAAGGGGGTTATATAGTACCTAGATCGATAATTTAGTCAGGATCTGTTCATTTCTCTTAGGTAATATTATTGACGCTTATTAAATTATTAGTTGGGGTAGGGGGAATATTGACATTTATATATACTAAGTAGATATGTACGTGTGTGTATGTGATTTGAGGTTGAGTGGGGATTATTAATTGTTAGGATCATGATCTCATGGACGTGGGAGGACTGGTATGTGGATAGATGTTTGTTCATTGCTGGTATACTGGGAAGGTGAAGAGGGTGAAATAATGAAGCTGTATGGTATATGGTTGTTGTGCTGTCTAAGGGTGATACCTATCTACAACTGCCAAGAAGCTATTTTTGAGTCTGAGAAATGTGGCTTGGTATGTGTTGGTGGCGTAGCTGGAGTGTTTGAACTTCAGACAGGTAAGGAGCACAGTCACTTTATCGCATCAATAGTGTTCGGAGTTATTTAATTCCCGTGGTTTCATTGTGTACAGTAAATATGTAATACCTCGTTCATTCAATACTGTCATGATCATAATGAAAAATTCCGAAACTCCATAGTTTGGGAATTATATATGCACATGTAAAATATGAACCAAAAAGCATCTCTCGCTATGCATCGTGTTGCGTGATCGTCTCACATCACAAAAAGCAAATTGGTATCTACCGGGCAATCAGTGAGTCAATGTCCGTCCTCGGAGGAACTAGTGATGCATTGCACCTACCTAATGGATGACTGCAGCTCAGCTGCGGCTTCTGCGAATACTTCCCCTCCAGTTCATTGCGAATCGAGTTCAGCAATTGCAGGTAGCTTTGGTTGGGTCGTTGCTGCAAGGTCTTGATGAATGCCCAGCTCAGGGCTCCCCGGGCTTCACCGTCTTGAAATGTGTCCGCACTGTAGATAAATGGTAAGTAGGTGAACCAGAATCGAATAGGATAGGTAGGGCTACTTACGAGGTTTGGGTGTCCTTGGAGCCGGAGAACATGACCACATCGGCGGGCGAGGTCTTGGTCATGACGGTCCGTTGGCGCGCGGTGTCGCCGTTGGCAGCCTTCTTGAAAAAGCCGATAGCAGTTTGCGCGACACTGCTGAGATCGCCTTTTCCGTAGGAGTTGATGGCACTGAATAGGTCCATCGCTGCTTCCTTGGCCAGGTTGGGTTCCTTCAGGATACCTTGCGTGGAATAGACATAAGGGAGATCGAGAGCGGTTCCGGAGTGGCAAGAGTCGAAAATGGCGGTTAGACGGACACCGGGGCGTAGTGGACGAACCCTGAACCATCAGTATCGACAAGGAAATAGATCACAAAGGGTGACTTACATGATGGCGTGCATGTCATCGTCCACGATATGTCCTGCGGTGCGGTAGTCGAGCGGGTAGATAACATCATCGTAGCCTGAGATGTCAGTTACAGTCTTCTGGAGTCATTTGGGTGCGTCTTACCATCTTCCTCGTCACCATCAAGATCGGGTGTACGACCACCGTGTCCCGAAAAGTGGATAAACAGAGAGTCGTTGGGCTGCGCGTCCTTCACCAGCCATTGCATGGCCCTGAGGATGTTGGCCTTGTTCGGTATACTCATCGGGTTCTTCTGATCATCTGTGAGGATGACCATGTCCTCCCTGCGATATCCATACTTCTGGTTCAGGAACGTTGACATGTTCGTAACATCGTTGATACACCCGCGCAGCTGGTTCGGCTGCCCGATGTAATTGATACCAATCAGAAGGGCCTTACGCCGACCGGTACAGTTGGAATACTGGAAGCGGTAATTAGACGGGGCGCCCCTGCCAAAGTGCTGCGAATCCTGAGGCGGACGGGGCGGGAGGTTCTGACCCCATGACGGCGAGTGGTCTACATGAAGTTAGCATTGGTTGAGTCGCATTTTGTTAAGGAAGAGCTCTCTTACTGTGATAAGACCGTTGATGAGGTGAGGACGACTGAGGTGGCGGCGTAGGGGTATGGTGCTGGCCGTAGTAAGGGGAAGGTGCCGGAGACGGGTAACTACCAGGAGGAGGATAGTAGTGAGACGGCGGGGGGCCGGGGGGCGGTGAGTAATGAGAAGTCGGAGGTGGGCCTGGGGGAGGTTGGTATTGCGCGTTGGATGAGTATCTGGAGAGGCCGGTTAGGAGGTAATTCGCGCACAGTGTTCCTGAATGGCTTACGGGTAAGGATAGGATGATGGCGGGGGTTGTCCCCACGATTGTTGCCGAGGGTAGTCACCAGACCAACCCTGGTGGGAGTGGTGGTAGTACATCAATTACGGCGTGGGAAATGAAACGGACGGGTGAGGGAAAGTGTGCCGTGAGCGGGGGGAGTCGCAATAGCAATTAAATATAACTTCAGCGAAGACCGAGCGTGGTATCAGAGTAAGCGACGAGGGGAAGTGGTGGTCTGTGTGTTTGTGCGGAGATACCAGACACTCGATAGGGAAACAGTGGGGGATGGTGGTCGAGAACCAGTCCACCGGGTGTACGCTGAAGAACTTGGGGCAGAATCCTGGGACTAGTCTGGAGATATGAAGAGCACGCGAGGATCCCGGATGACTCTATTGCAAGAAAAGAAAAGCAAAGGAAAGGGGAGCGAAGGGGGAGAAAAACGGTGAACGGGTGGGATTTAAAGCAGGATGAATTGGATTCCCTGGCCCGTCACAGGGCTGGCTGATGGCCCGTTCTCCACTGCCGGTGTTGAGTAGTGATTGGCTCGGCGATGGCTGTGTGGGTCGTGCACGAGGCGTAGGGCAGAAAGAAAGGTTGGAAATGGCTGTGGGAGTCGTGGCATTCGAGGGGTTCGGCTTTATCGGCATCTCCTGATGCCCCCTTCTCCTTCTTGAGTCCTCGTAATCTGCTGCTTACAATATCCAGGAGGCTCTCGAGATGACAGAGGGCACTTAGCCTCCATTCTGGATGTTTCGATGCACGCATATACACATACACACCACACTCTCCTCATCGTCTTCATCTTTTTGAGGTCGTTGCACTTGACCAACCACCTGGTCGGTTTCGTTGCCGATCCATCACAATTTTAATGCGACTGAAGGCAGAAATACTAAAACCTAGTAATCATATGGGCCCTCTTACGTTGCCCTGGGCCCGATAAGGAACCCGCCAGGACGAATCTGCGGTCACAGCTCATCGTCTTCCATGGAACCACCGCCTCCAGGTCCTCCCCGCTTGTCCATTCGGGGCAACTTTCCGGAATGTTCGCTGCAGCCCTCTTTTAGGCACCAGCCAATCCCCTTGGATTGTCGCCCAGCAAGTTTGCCCGCCAATGCTGGTCATGCTGGGCGGTGTCTCCCTACATGCGCTGCTGATAGGTCTGCACTGCCCCCCCAGGCTATGTAGTGTTTGCAAGCGGGTAGGGCGATCAATAAATGTGCCGTGCAAACTTGACCGGGCGTTGAAGATCTGGGGTCACCTGGGCAAACGTGACCAATCCATCAGAGAAAAATTGGGGCACTGGAGTGGCGCGGAGCATTAGTGTGAAGTAGATATGCAGAGTACTAAGTAGTCGGTAACTAAGTCTCTTTGCATCATCATCATCATCATCAACTGCTCTGGTTGCACTACTGCCGATTCTTTCGGTCGGTCTTTCAAACAGTTCTGCAGGATCATCCTGATCGGTGAGTCGTGGTGGTTAGACAAGCATGGTTTTATACATCTCTGCACCACAGTTATGCTCTGGCGGTGTCACCTGACGCCAGAGAATGCTGTCATCCGGACATGACACTCGTCAAGTCCGCATATCCCTGGCATTCTGGTGTCGCCAGTTTACGCAATCCTCACCACGGGTAGAGTACATTCCGCTTGGCACCGCACAACCTTGAGTACCTTTGAACTGCTCACATGCGTCCCTTTTATTCTTCTGCTTGTCTCTTGGGGCATGCTCTCTTTCCCAGCAATGTGAGCCAGGAGCTTTGTTAGCCGTGTCGAAGCAATTCAGCCATCATGCATTCAACAGGGCACTAGGTGTGTAAACCTAACAGCAATACATGAGGTCGAGCCCCGCCAAATGAATTCCTATCGCCAAGGCAAATGGTGTCTTGACCCGACCTCAGTTCTACTGGACCAAGGAAAACTATCCCCTACGGAGCCTTTAAATAACCTGGTCGGCCTACAACTCATCGACACGCTGACTGTTGCTCTCTCTCAGCCTAACTGACCTTGACTCCGCACCTTGATCATCGGCTAGCCTTGCCTCTCGTGACCGCATCTTGGCGCTTGACCACAATCAGCATGGCGTGCGCCCTTCACAGCAACAACAACAGTCATCAAACGGAGCAAGCAGCAGCAATGCTCACCTCATTCGCCCGGACTTCCATGGATCCAGGATCCATGAGGTCCGCATGCACTGTGCCATCCCTTGGCCGGCCGATATGCGCACCCTCGGCCCCCAAGTCAAGTCTTGCGATCAGCGAGCATCGTGAGATTGTGCTTTGCGGAATAAGCCGCAGCGATCGTCCACGATGACGGCAGCAATGTATAGATCACAATCACCCCCGCAGTCACAGAGAAAACAAAAAACATGGCAAGTGCTTATCTCGACCGGCATATATCCTATTGGCAGCACAACATGCCACGGACCAGGCGTTGTTGCACGTTTGGGGCAATCGACAAGGCTATTAGCAAGCAAGCAAGTGCTGCCGCATCATCTCGACCACAAGTGCTTACCCATCAAGGGTCCAGAACACCATTATTCCCTGCTTGTTTGATGTGGTCCAAACGTGCAGCTCGGGGCTCCGTGCGTTCTCCCTTGAGGGTGCTCGGTACCTGTTTCAGGCTATCCGGGCCTGTTACGCAGATTCGAGGCAGTGCAAGCGGGGTTGATGCATGCCACGGGATGCCCCGGCCTTATCACCAGAATAGCACCGGGAGCCTGCTCCCAGTATGACAACGGCCATTGGAGAGACAATTGACGCTCTGATCATCGCAAAGTGGGATTGGAGGAGGATCAGGAGTTTGCTGATGAATGAAGGATCTTCGTACGGAAATGCAGGATGACCCTGACGTAGCTCCGAAATACGGTTATCACCCGACCAAGATGACCAATGGCCCCTATGCGCGATATACCCACCGGTGGTTGCCGACGGGGTAATGGAAGGAAGGGGCCGCACTAGTAGTTTGAGAGAATGATTAGATATCACCGCAGCCTCACGGGGGTTATCCGCCTGAGGCATCAGTTAATAAACCGATTCAGCCGCAAAGCGTTGCGACTCGCCACCGTTGGGTCTTTGCCATTTGATTTGAGAGGGGGGAGGTTTCATTTCAGCCTTCATATTTCAGCCTCCTTTTTGCAGACTAATTTAGCTCAAGGTTTCGTGTTGAGATTTCAAACCCACCAAAGAAGGGAATTCCGTGACCGGGTTGGGCGATCGGGAGATGGGAGGCACGCGGCTCCGCAGGTGACTTGAGATGGAGGCTTTTGAGGCTGCGAATTGATGGCAGCCGCGCAGGTCCGATGGGATGATGGCATTTTATCCGAAATCAGTTAGTCTAGTAAGTAGTAGTACACAGCTAGTATTCCTCCGTAGTCCCCAGTCGTCCCCAGTCACTTCCAGCCCGCCGCCTCCCTTGCGTAACTTCTTTCGCCTTCCAATCCCCTTCAATCATCAGGGCTCCTTTAATTATTATTACGCCTTGGCCACGGCTGCGTCTCCATCCGGCTGGGCAGTTGAGCCTCCAAATATTTTTTGTTTTGGTTTTTTTTTTTGTTTTGTTTTTGTTACTGCCTGTCTGACTTGGCCTCTCTTAAGAGTCTAGTCCAATTGCCAACTCCGAAGGGGGCAAAAAGAGGTGTGCCGTTTCTACGGTCGGTCAATGCTAAAATTAGCGTGGGACAGCTGGTAGAAGTAGTGGTAGTAGTGATAGTAGTAACAATGCCACTGCCTAAACAGTGGCAGTTAAGTCAGTCAGTCGCACGGCTCACTCGAATGCAGCCTTGCCCAGGTTGTTCCCTGGTAACGCGCCGAAAAAGAACTTTCATTCCCACTTGAGGCTCTCCCTCCCCCAATTCAAACTAATCGTCTCATCATCCCCCGTTTTGGGTTTACCGCTTGACCGCCCCTCTCCTCGTCAAGCTAGCTGAAATGTGAGTCGCTGCTGATGCCTGTCTCGCGGACTGTCGCACTGTGCCGCTTGGACTATCTCCTACGGAATAGCTAGGCTTATGATCCATTCCTCCTCCTGCCTCTCCGATGGTATGCTTCCCGCGTCCCTGAGGACCAATGATGTTGCTTCTCGGACCCAATATCCCACTTTTCTTTCCATTCTTTCGCCCCTCCGGCGTATCCAATGTAAAGCTTACTCTGGAACAACAGAGCCGCATCATGAAGTCTACTAGTTAAACCATGGCAGCTGTTCAACAGCTCTCCTATCCAGTCGCATCCATGTGTCCAGTGCATGGCTGTTTGTTGTCTAAAGTGTTGTCCCACTAAACCTTATTTTCTTTCAATGTGGATCGCTGTATTCCCTACCAACACTCTCTGTATACTATCTGGCCGCCTCCGATCAACAGTGAATACAAGTACCAACATTCACGTTCGGGCACTAACATCTCACTGATCGACTGACGTTGTGTTTAACCATACGTGGGCTCATCTGCGCCATTATTCCTATCGATTCTCATATTCTCACCCATATTGGTGTCTCGTCGATGGTATAAGTGCGGTGTGGCAGTGCGCGCATCCTTTCCTTCTTCCTCCTCCTCCTTCTCCTCCGCTCTCCATATAGGGTGCGCAGCTCTGCCATTCGCCATGGTCACATCTGGAATGGTCAGAAATCTGGACTGCATCCCTTATGATGTATTCTATCAAGTGGCCTCTACCCTCGACTGTCACGACCTCATTCATCTTAGCCGCGTTAACCGAGCATTAAATCATTTGGTGCAAAATGAATCAATTGCGCGTAAAACGATTCAAGTAAGTGGCACCGCAGTGTTTGTAAAATTGGGGTTTGTACTGACTGTTCTAGAATGATTTACTGCACACAAAGGAAGGACAAGAGGCTGACCAGGCCAAGTCTGGATATCGCAGAGCTCTTGGGCGCCTATTCGACATCAAGGAATCAGTCGCAACGGCACAACCGTACTCTGCTTCCATTCTGGCTTACGCGAGCTCCTTCATCTACAGTGAAGGCTGTCTCAGCTACATCTACAACGATGAAATCCGTGTCCTAGATGTGCACGGTGCCGGCCAAGTTGAGCAGGTGCTGAACATCCACAATGTTCTATCCCGGGCCATACAAGGGTGCAATCCACAGACAGATACGTTCCAGGTCTGCCTCATGTACTACAGTAACTGGGTTCTGGCATTCACAGTGGAGTTTGTAGACAGGCCTGAAGCTTGGCTTCTGGTAGTGGACATGCGCCGCAAAGTGAACAACAAGAAATGTGGTCGGCTACGTCTCCTGACAAGGCTCCAACACACACGACGATTATTCGTTCGACACAATGGCTCCTATCTATACTATGGGACGCACACCGCAGTGGGTGATCGTGGCTATTCACAATGGGCGATTCATTGTGCGGATCTCAAGATAAGCCAGCACCTGACGGAAAAGCCAACCGTGCTGGAAAACTTCGCCGGCAGCGAGATTGGTCAGACCGTATGCTTTGAAGTTCATCAGGACCATCTCTACGCAGTGTCTACACTCGTGGACTTTGAAGCGGAGGAAGTCGATTGGACTTCGTACTACGTGTGGCTTTGCATTCCCCCCAAATCTAACGCTGCCAAACGATTCATCACGCCCAACCGTACTTGGCGTCGTCAGCATCGTGAAGGCCCGATCAATGACACCTGGTCAGATCTCACGCTGCGTCAGGATGAGGCAACCAAGCGACTAATGATTCTCGAATGCCGCCGGGAATGGCGCGATGGTCGGAGTGAAAATGCACGCACATATTACATGCAGCCTTTGCCGTCCCCAGCCGAAGCCACTCAGAATAAACAGCAAGGCTTGGATTCCACACCCAACGCAACGCCCGTCACCCTCCCTGACGAACCTCTCACCAGAACCCTCGACTCCACCAGCAAACCCAATTACGAACCCCCGCGTAAGCGTCTACGCCGACATTTCCACCAGGAATACGCACACGGTGCGGAACCGGCCCAACGACATGACTACATTCTTGCCAAAACCAAGTTCCGCAGCTACAACCTCTCCGCTTCGACGTTTGTCGATCTGGTCAATGACCCCTCCCCGGACACGCCCGGCAGCTTCATCCCGCATGACCGACTCCGTGTGCGCACGGTATCACGCAAACGCAAATGTCCCATTGACGAGAACGGGGACGAAGGCGAACCCGGCCTGCTCTTCCGTCCCGAACTCAGCGATGCGGATGGCCAGCCGATTGAGCACAGCGAAGAACGCTATGCCTCACGCGGGGTCCGTCTGTGGCCTCCCGACAACGCCCCGCGGGAATTAACTCAACTCCTCTGCCCATCGAAGCGCTGTGGCCCCGTTCAGGCAGCCGCCGACGAACGGTCCCTCGTGTACTCGGTCGATCAGGATGGCCTGGAAGGGACCGGACATCAGGCGATCGTGCTGATCAATTTCGACCCGTCGCTACGCCTGCCTGGCTTACAGAGCATGAATCTCACCCGTGGTGGAGCAGGTGCCCTGCCAGCGGACGAGCGCGATGCCCCAGTGGCCATGGAGCGACCGGCCATCGGAGATATCGGACGCGAACGAGTGGGCGTGCACACATGTATCGGCAGTCGAAAGGCGAACCAACCGGTGCCATCTGTCCGTGAGGAACAGGCCCTGTATCTTTCTATTCGACGGGGGTATTGGCTTCGGTAAGGGTGTGATGAGTGTGAGTTGAGTTGCACTGCCCTGGCACCGGACGAGGCTGTGCAAGGGTGTTTTCTTATTACCGGTACGTGCCTAGTTAGCTAGCAAGCGGGTTTTACCTCTTGTCTGAGACAGGGGTGGAAACACACACACGCACCACCACCATCACCAAACATACCATAATATCCTAGAAGAGATGATCTAAATGATAATGAATGAAAAAAAAATTACTATAAGCTCACTAGTGTGGTGTGCGTGCGCGTATATCATGATTATTCTTATTGTAGGGTGGTTGGGGTCGTGTGTGCCGGGTGAGTGAGCTGATCGGATCGGATCGTCAGCTGTCAGCTTACTATCTTCTTACTTGACTGGTCTTATTCTGACCACTTGGCTGGAACTAGTAGCGTCGTGGCACGCAATTGATTCAATTCGTGTATTCGTATAATCCCTTGGCTAGAAGGGGAAAAGAAAAATAAGAAGGTCTTGACAAAGATACCTGCAGGAAGGATCCGAGTTCGAACAGACAGACAACACAACCGAACGGATTCAAGGCCCTACTTTTTACACCTCGCACCAAGTACTTATGAGGGACCGTTATCCATACCATTTAGAGTAAGGTAAGGTAAGCACTTATCTATACCATTTAAGGTAAGCTGTACGTTGAACGAATGGGGATGAGGTATTAAGTACCGGTGGGGAGTGGGGAGTGTTAATCAAACGGCTTGTCTCAGGATTCTTATGGGGTCAAATGGTGTGGGATGGATCTATTCGATCCTGGTGCATGTCTACTCCGTAGTAGATACTATAGTAGTTCGTCATTTACCGATGGTAAAGATTTTGTTACAGATATAGTAGCATTAGCTAGATGGGGTTCAGACTTGTGGATTTGTCAGGTAGCTTACTTTCCTGCGGAATTCTGTCCGTTGCATAGGGCATGTTGACTCGTATGTCTGACTCGTATGCGTCAGGTGATTGGGGCTCCTTCCTACTTTCTGCTGGGGTTTATGACTTTCTTCCTTCTTGGCCGTCGGGGACACAGGCCCGTTGTGATTACTATCGGTCTTAGAGCGACTTCTCGTAATCTAGTCTTGAGGACTGGCTCGCTGATACACTTGAATGATGTCTCTATTGCATGAAAGAGTATTAACGAGGATGTGTCTTGTTGCAGTCTGCTAAAATTCTATACCTTTCTTCCTAAACTCCCGTTGAACACCATACCTCCTATTTTCTCGCGACTATCATTAGGGAAGACTGTAAGTCAATCACTCCCCAACCAACCCCCGAAGCTGGGGAAACCGCTGCTCCAACTCATTTGATCGTGCTTTCCATTTAGGATATTCTTTGGCACCAACGCGACTAAGGCGCCACCACCCCGCAATTCCAGATCCCATACCACAAGCCCAGGACCCCAAGAACGCAATTGGAAACACGGCAGGGAACGCTCCCATCAAGAGAGCAGATCCAGCACCGCCAGCCCATGATACCACGGCAGCAGTCCAGCTTGACATGAATATTCTCGTGTGCAATTCGTCAATGGCAAACTCGAGAGTCTGTAGGCGAGACGCGCACACGAAAAGCAGCAGTCGCCGCAGGATGTCCTTTTCATTAGGGTCTGGCAGGATCATACAACCAAGTCGGATGGTGAAGTCAGAACAGTTCCACCAGATCGGGTCGTATCTTCCCCATACTGTTTGCAGGGGCTTATAGACTAATCGCTCCGGTCTGATCAGCTCTGGTATGTGGCCTGAAGGGTAGAGGGGCGGGGTGTTGACTTACACGACTCAATTATTGCTTCATTGTCGTAAGTGACCAACCCGATCTCAACGATCCCATCTATGCTCCGGACCTTTTCCTCTCCCCAACAGACACCACCACCTTCCTCGTCAGTTATGTTGGGACCGGCGAGCTCGAAAAATGATCCATGTTGGAATTTCTGCAGGAGGTTCGTTGTTCCATCTATCCAAACCGCCTCTGGCACCAAACAAACGGCAAAATGACGCATGAATCCGGGTGGTTCTGGAAGTGACTCAGTCTGGTTTCTGTTCCGGTAATTCCTGGGAAAGTCGCTTTCAATCCCTATGGCATCCTTGATTGCCTTGTAGGATCTGCCCGACTTTACTGTCACAACGAGGACGAAACGTTTGCACCAAGCGTCTGTGAGAATGAGAATCGTGTCATCAAATCGAGGTCAGAGGAACATACTTCGCGCCTGTCCATCGTGATCGTGGCTGGTCTGTTGCTCGCAGGTAAACCATTGTCTGGTAGCTCTGAATGCAGCCACCACAAAGCCAAAGAGTTCCAAGGTGGCTTCCTGGACCTCTTTCATGACAGCCACCACCAGTGGACGGACCTTTGCAGCAATTTCAACCGTCCCTGCTCTTATAACTTCCAATTCTGACTCTGAGAAACGTCAGGATACGTCTCCAAGCGTCTGAGCGCTGAGAGACAAACTGCCAGAACAAGGCACAAGCCTTCCCTTTCAGCCATCGAAATGTCTGTACCGGAACGTTTCTGATCAATATCCATCCAATGATAATGGATAGAACAGCAGTAGACAAGAAGTTGAGGATGACCTTGACTCCGTCAAGCTTCACTGCGCCTGCCAAGAAGATCAGAAGGAGGATTTCAGGACGTGTGTATATCCTGGTCATTTTTACTTTCTGGGTTGAACAACGACGGGTTCAGCAGGAGGTATATCGGGTGCAACTGTCCGAGAAATATCAAGCGTGGGATGGAAAAGAAGAGGAGAAAATAGCGTGCCTGTGGCATGAACAGGCTATATTCAAGTGCTCACTGCAGTGATGTAACTGATTGGCATTGTTCAATTCGTGTATCTCGACCACCCAGAGCCTCATCGCTTTCCTCTGAGAGTCACAGCCTTCGCCACCATCGGATCTTTCCTCGGTCTTGCCTTAACTCCGATATCCGGTCGGGGGTATTGAGTCGAGGTCATGTCGACTCATAAGATAGTAAGTATTGTTGGTCATTGAGCCCTGGGGCTCAGCGCCTACGAGCGTTTACCCAGCGACGCATCCTATCCAATCAATCCGACATATGAGATGTAGCAGACTAGTTTCATTGGCCATGAAAGCCCCGTTGAATTGTGTCTCTGCATACCGATAGAAACTCTGTCAAGATGATCCAGTTGGTTCGATTGATCGATTGCTTGGTCGGTTGTTGATAGTCGTCGCTCAACCGGGCCTCAAATACGCCGATGTCTGTTTTCCGGCAACCTTCCATACTTACAAATGTATTGTTGGTCTTCTGATGTGCCTCATTTGTTATTGAGCCGTATTGATTCAATACCTCGGGTGCCGTGTTGCCGATTATCAGCTGGCTGTATACCTTTTCTTCATTCTACTGACTCGTGCCACCCGCAAAACAATGAAACGCTGCATCAGCACAGGAGTCTCCGTAGAACGGTAAAAGTGATCAACTATACTAATGATACAAAGAAAAAGGATTCCTTACCAAATTGCAACTTATATCTTACACTGAATACAGTAGTGGTTACATCGGGACTTGAGAGTTTTCTTCCGGTTTTTGCGGCCTTGCGGAGCATGGACTCCAACTTTCACTACTGCAGCTGGTCGAAACAGGCGATCATTTTCTTTTAATTAAAAGTATATTTTCTTCTATTTGGGTTTTTTTTTTTTTTTTTTTTTTTTTTTTTTTGGAACGTTATTATTTTGAAGCTGGCTTTTCTCAAGATTGTTAATCATCATCTACTAACCTGTAATAGCGACTCAAGCATTCTAATTTAGCTATAATTCCCATTATTCTGTCCGATATTACCGACAGACTGATGATAAATCGATATCAAATGAAAATGAAGTGTGTTTCGTGTATGTATGACCTCGATACATAATCCACGTCTCCCAACATAGTTGATCGAAGCAGATACTACTAGGAGATTGAACCAAGTACATTGGTAAATATATTTATTACTAGTCTTCTGTCACGCTGATCTTGGATGAACACATGACTGCCATTAATCATTATCATAATCACCCTTCCTACCCACACCTTATTGAATAAAAGTCAACCCCCAAAGCTTTTACTCAAATCTCTGTCTAAGATATATCATCCTTCTTATCTTATCCAATATACATCGCCGCATCAACCCACGTAGACAGACCTTCCCAGAGAGAAAACAAACCACAGCACAACATGATATCAATATAAGTAAACTTAAAAAGCGCATAGTTTCCAAAATAAACCCCAAAGCACATCAGATACCAACTCTCTTGTTTCCAGTACACCATGCACAATGCACCATGGGTTTCCATTCCCACACCCCCCCCCCCCACACACAACCCCCTCTCTATTGCAGGGTGACATACCCTGCAATCACCCAAGAAATTGTCCTAGAAAGATAGACAAGGATGATAGTTTCTATCATAGTGTAAGATATTAGACGCATTGGCGAAGTCGTGCACGTGCACGATAATGTCGTTGATTGCCGAATAGCCTCGACGTTCAGCAAAAAGAGGACGGCCAGCTCTGTCTGGTAGAGAGAAGGGCGACCCGGCACCGGAGCAGAAGAAGTTTATCGTTCTGTAGCTGCCACCGGTGTTGCGATCCGCCAGGCTTGATCCTCGTCGAATTCCATGTCGTCAACGCGGCTCGGTGTGGTAGGGCGACGAGGTGGAGTGACATTTGCGTCGTCGGACTCGCTAGCGGTGTCATCTGCATCGCTGTCGTTAGCAGTGTCGGTGCGAGAAGGTGGAGCGACATTCGTGTTGTGTCGGGCTTGTTAGTGGTGTCGTTCGCATAGTCGGTTTCATTCGCCGTGTCTTTGGCGTGTTAAGGGCCTTGACAGGAAATCGATGCTTCTCGGCTAAGGAAATAGCATGTAAAAGAGAGATATTTTTAAAGAAGAGAGTGAGGAGCTGCACCGTCAGCTTTGGTAAAACCTGCTGCAGCTCAGATATATCACTCTCTTGTTGAATCCTCCCAATCGTATGGCGCAGAAGTCTGCCGTGGTAAACTCTTCGAAGGTCTTGGTCAACTTGAAATTATTCCCAAGTGAAACAGTTAGCTTGGAATTCCATCTGCTCTCTGACTCCTGACTATGCTAGGAGGTTTGTTGTCTAGTCAGTAAGTTTGTTGCGTGTTTTGATCTCGGCAAACTTGGGCGCTTGTGAAGGTAGGTTCGTCCCACGATGCGAGATGTTGTATAAGTAGCCAGTTACTTTTTGGGAGCAGGCCGCCACAATGTCTTCTCTTCTCTCCTTCTTCGTTTGTATCCCGTGGTCTTTATAACATTGCAGGAGTCTATTGAGGAACTGTATGTTGCTTTGTATTGTCTTTCCGCTTCCGGTGAGGGTGGCGCCCGTTCAGCGTATCAGAAACAGGTATTGTAGTATCGCCAATAATATGGTGTGTGGCATGATCATGGGCTTTGGGGGAATATGACTGCGATGTGAGAGCCGGTCAAATGTGTCTGATTTGGTGCATATATACTAGGATTCTGAGCGCCAGGCTCAGGTGCGCATCCCTTAGCAGCTTGGGTCCCTAGGGGCCGTCACACTGCGATTGGAAATGAGAAGAGCGTTGGTATCGGATCCATATTGCCTAAAATCATTATACTGCGTTAGTTCAGTGGCAAGGACACAGTGAACAGGCAGGAATACTACTAACCTTCTCCAGAATGGTGGGAGCCAAAGGAGCCTCTTTTAGACTGGGGAAACCGAAGCCGAAAGTTTCCACGTGGACAGATGCCCATTGTATAGTATATATGACATGGTGTCCATGTTCTGTGAAGCGTACAGAGCAGATCTTCTAGGATGTATATAGACAGCGCTTGATTCCAGATTGCTGTTCCTCCAAGACCTTTTCAGCGCTCTTCCAGGTTTATCCGGCCAAGGGAGGTTTGGCCCAGTGAAATGCGATTACTTCTTCCCGATATCTTTGGCGGCATATTGCTGGTAGGGAGCCAGGAGGTCGTCACTTTCTTCGTAGCCTGAGCCCGGTGACGCGGCCGCAATATCGTCCCACTCTTCCGTGTAGAGGATTGTTAGGAACCCACAGATGTCTATCACTCTGTTAATCATGGGGGTCGCAGTTAGAAACCACTGTCGCGGGACCCCAAGGCGTGCTACTGACTGATGGACACGAGTGGATATTGTTTTCAACATATGGCCCTCATCAGCCACCACTCGGCCAAAGAGACCCACAGCCATACAGTGGGAAGAATTTCGCAAGGACAAATCCTTCTTCTTCTTCTCTTCTTCGGCGCTTTGGCAGTTTTCAGGGGCCTGAGTTCTCATAAAGGCAGAAGCCTTGATCCATCATCTATCCCACTGTCACACAAGAAGGTTATCATATCTCAGTTGTTCTGGAGACTGGGCTTTTGTCTTCCTTGTGTCCGGGGACAACAGGGCAAAGTGTCGAAAGCCATGTCAGATGGCGGGCTTGTGACTTCCATAATAGTTTTGCGGTCCCAATTTTTGGGCATTTATAAAAGACCTACGAAATAGGTAGTTGTTCGGTATGAAGTCGACGTTATCTTCAACTGAAGAAGGCGAGGCCGCACCCATCATTGCTGCTGGAGAAGAGTAGTCCAGACAGCGTTTATAGTGGATGTGACTTTTTCACCATTATATAGGTTTCCGCGATGTTCGTGTCTCTGAGATGTATATAAAACTGACGGTTGTCAGAGGCACTAGCGGCCTAGGCGAAGCAAACCCCAATCGGCTGCCGTAGTTGGTACCCATCTTCGGTACCGTTCTCGTGGTGACGATTCGAATTTGGAATCCGGTTTTGTCAAGGATATTGCATGTCCTTTTGCTGGAGCTTTTTTATTTTCTTTTTTTTGTCAGTATCTGTGTTCCTCTAGGCTGCTTCAGGAAACGTGCTAGTTCCGACAAGGGCCATATGCAACGGGCTGAGCCAGATCCCAACGGACCAGGATCGGCTGCCGTAGATGGTACCCTTCTGCTTGTATCTCTATATTGTGGTACAGACGGTGGCAGGTCTGGATCGATTAAGAGGGCTGTATCTCTTTCTGTTGAGAAGACTTTTAAGGTCTCTCAACATCACCGTGTCCCTCTAGGCTGAAGCCAGAGACGTTTATATATTCGACGGGTGTTAAATGTTCCCGCAGGCTGAGCCAGAGATTGAAACCGCAATCGGCTGTCGCAGATGGCATCTCTCTTTCTTACGTGTCGTCAAAAGATGACACAGACTAATATCTTAGGTCTGGATCGATCCAGTGCCGCATCTCTTTGTTGAGGACTTCCTTGTGCTTTCTCAACACCTGCGTCCCCTTAGGCCGAAGCTAGGCCTCTGTATAGATTTGACGGAGCTCAGATGTACTAGCGGCTTGGGTGAAGCAGCCCCGATCGGCTACCCCAGATGCCATCCTTTTTTCATCTGTATATTTCATGATGAGACAACGTTATTCCGGTTGTCTTCTGCAGCACCTCTTTCGTTAAGAGCTCTGGTGTGAAGCCAGAGATGAGCTATATAATTCTGACAGGTGTCAGAGGCAGTGAGCTAAGTCCGACAGACCAACCGACCACGATCGGCTGCCTTAGATGGCACCCTTTGTCATCTGCATCTTTCTATGATGATACAACGATGGATCTGGCCATTCCGAAAGTATCGTGTGTCCCTTCGTCGAGGGTCTCTCGTGCTGGGGAATCTGGGATAGTGTTAGACGTGATCTTGATGGAGTGTGGAGAAGTAGAACAAGGAATATCGACATACCATAAACGATCCAGCACCACCGCTGTTTAACTTCCTCGCTGCCGAATCTGCAGGCCCCTGTCTGGACATACATACCTAGTATGAAGCAGGATATGCTATTGCCTACAAGCGACAAGGGTCCGTAGTACAGCTCAATCATGTTTCGAACGTGCTGCGAAGTAGATCAAAACGATATATTGATGACCACTCAGCAGAAGGACTGACTCGAATGCTTCAACAAATCGTCTTAGAAGATATAATAGTTAAGCATCATGCTATGTTATAGTTGATAGTATAATATAATGTAGTAATGATAATAGCAAGTCTAGTAGTTGCTTGGATATAGGAAGAAGAGGAGGAGAGAAGAGGGTTGGCACCAGGTTTATATATTGTTTCTCACGTGAGCCGTCATTCAATGCTTCTTCGTGAATATAGCATCATGTTGATACCCTATCTTAAGCGAAGTGCACAATTAGCAGTAGTTTGAGGAGAGTAATATACAATATTCAATCTCCTATGGGAAGTGACGGGTTCACTGTGCAATATTCCAGATGCACCCGTGAATTTGGCTGCTACTATATTGCCGGATTCACGCGTCTCGAGGACGGTGTGATCCGCCACGCATGCTGGTGAATTCAGGAAGCAATGACAAGCGAAGCTATACAAACCCTAACGCACTGCAATATCACAAGAACAATATATGTAACTCTTGCAATTTGGAGTGAAAAGGAAATGGGCTACTTGCATTGCCAGCGAAGAGTTGTAGCATCCACATTGAATGTCTTTCAGACGTCCAAAACGGGAACAAAAGGCCAAACCGGATGTAGTAAAGCAAAAGTGCAACCGCATCGCCAGGGAACAAGCAGTTCCCTTGATCGCAAGTTCGACCATCATTGGAAAGTGATATGGAAGGACAAAAAAAGAAAAAGAAAAGGTCGTGCCCGGGATCGAACCGGGATTGCTGGAATCAGAATCCAGAGTGATAACCATTACACTACACAACCGAAGTTGATGTCTGGGCAACTACTTTACGCAATATATTCTTTTCGATATTAAGCTAGCTGTCTGTTTGGCATTGTCTACAGCGACATGTTCCAACAGCAGAATGTAGGTCAGACTCTCTCTTGGATTCCTCTCCCCCACCATGATCCAGTTGACCCACCTTCTCGCTCTCCTTGATCCTCCTCAACTCCTCAAAAATTCCATGATAGGTGAAATTGAACTTTCGGAACCGATAAATCTCTTTCGCTGAGTGCCGCGCCATAGCTTGTGATGTGTTCAACTGAATCTGCGACGCCCGGGGCCTGCGTACACGATCGAAGTCCTCAAGGATAGAAGGGATGCTCCCCCTTGTGACATGGTCTCCAAGGAAAAGCCTAAATCCCTCTGCATCTTCAATGGCCTGGCATCCTCCCTGTCCCTGATGGGGCGTCATGGCGTGCGCAGCATCGCCAATCAGGACCGTTCGTCCTCGAATGTATGTGGGCAAGGGGTCCTGCATGCGGAGTTGCCAGAGCTTAATATTTTCCGCTGCGCTGTAGCCATTACCTACATGTTAGCGCACAAAGTATTGCATATTAAGGGGAAAAGAGGGCAATACCGGAAATACTTAAGTACCCAGTCCGGAAAGTCCGTAAACAACGAGATCATCTCGTCTCTGTCACCTGGCGCAGACCACGAGTCAGATGACGCTGGGGTCTTGAGCATATTGTCTGGTGCGAGCACAGCGAAGTTGAGGATCTCGTAGTTCCGACACGGGTACATGATCACTCGTCGCTCCGTAGGATCGAGGGCGTATACACCAAACAAAGTGCCTGATTTGCTTGAGTCCATTATCTCAGGTACTTCTCCGTTGTGCAGCTCGATGACCTTCTCCCGTGACATGGTGAACCGAAATGCAGAGGAGCCCGATGGTTGAGCGGTGATGTATGCGTCGTCGTTGACGACGGGGCCGCGCATGATGGATCGGATGCCGTCGGCGGCTGTTCATTGTCAGTATTGCATCAAACATATTATGCAACACCAAGTAGATCGGAGAAAAGAAAGCATAAAACGAACCAACAACAAGATCCGCCTCCACCACCTCCCCATCCTCCAATGTCAATCTCCCCTCATCAACATCCCCACCTACCACCCTCGCCCCAAATCGCACTGTCGCCGGTTCACCAGTCAACCCCAACTCTTCCGACGGCGCCGTAGCTAAGCGCAAAAGCTCATCTCGCAGATCCACCCGATGATGAAATAACCAGTCTGTCCCGAACTCCTGGACGTAATCGTGGATGGATTCGTGCGTGAGCTCGCCTTGCTTGTTGTACGACAGAACCCGAGTTACTGGGATGGAGCACGCGCGGCGACGATCAAAGTCTACACTATTGAGGATGTGCACGGCATTGGGACCCAGGTTGATGGCGGCCCCGGCTTCGGCTTTGGCGGTTTCGCGCTCGTAGATGGTCACGGTATGTTGCTCGCGGAGGATGCGGGCGGCGAGACAGCCGGCGAGGCCGCTGCCGATTATGGCGACGTTCAAGCTGTGTGATGTCATTATTGGGTAGTTTGTTGGAGTGAGGGATGGTTCGGGAGGGAGGGAGGAGGGGATAGTTGAAGACAGGGATGGAGGGTGAGGTCATGGGACGGTTCGGTTGGTGATGCATGCCCTTGCGGGTGTGTCTTGCATCTGAATGATCAGGGGGGTAGGGGAAGGATGCAAGGGTCTGTGAGGAACTTTCTTAGATAATGAATAGTGATTCGTTGGATGCAAGTAATCGTTCGGGTATACTTCAATGAGAAAGTCTGCTAATTGGTAGAAGTCCACGCTCATTACCCCAAATCCAGCTCAGGTATACATTAACAATAAGAGTACCAACAGGATATACTATAGATAACGCCAGCGCCATCGCCCAAATAAAACACTGAAACCCAGTATCATATCTCGTAAGCTCCCTTCTTCATCAAAGCCTTCAAGACATCGACCACTCCAGTCCTCTTCTCCTCTTGCCCCAGCATCTCCAATGCCCTTCGCCCCAACGACGCTCCATCACTATCCGCCTTGTCCTCACCAACTGTAAACGTCTCCCCACTATCAGTAGTCATGTTTAGCCCCGCGAAAACATTGGTTCCATTGGGATGCAAGATGCCGCTTAGGGTGTTGCTGATCAGCGACCCTAGCGGCACTTTCGCCGTCATGGTCAGATTCTTCATGACCTCCGTGTAGTACGGGACCTGAACGCCCTCGTACTCGACGTTCGCACCGACGGTCGTGAGACTCAGGTAGCCTTCTTTGATGGAGTCGCTTTGTTCACTTAGTATAGGTCCGATGTTTTCGATGAGTTTGCCGAGATCCAATATCCCTCGTACGGGTGTGGAGTGGTTGCCTGGTCTAAGCACGAGGTTGTTGAGAGTGCAATTTCCGAGGGTGAGGTTGCCGCTGAGGAGGTTCATAGTGGTGTTGCCCTGGTAATGGGTTATAATCTGATTACAGTGCATGAAACGATAGGAAAACTCACGATTTCAAGGGTCATCACGGACGGGTTGGGGAGGGTGGCGTTGGCGATCAAGTTGGTACCGTCGGATTCGGCGGGGAGAAGTAGTTTTGGATCAGAGATGGAAAAGCCGGCAAAGGAGTTGAGGGCTGTCATGTTGAAATACGGAATTAGCAGTTGATAAATATATTGGGAGGAGTAAGAGGCGCACTGTTTTGCTTAATGTCCTTGTTCAATGTGATCTTGGACTTCAGCTTCCCGATGTAAGCAGTGACGGGAGCCTTGACGGACAATGGAGCATGAGGCTCGAAGACCACACTGCGAACATATTGCGTCCATTGGTAGACATCCAAGGGAGTAAATTGGTCATCCACGCTGAGGGTTGTGTTCCCATTGATTGTAGCGCCGTCCATGTACAGCTTTGCCCAGGTGTTGTTCTCCGGGAGAAAGCGATTGAAGAGGGAAAGTGTCAAGTTATTCATGCGCACAGGGAAGCTGATGGGCAAGTCCAGGGCAGAAATGATGCTGAGCTGGATGGAATTGGGACG